TTTTTTTCAGTGCACTAATATTCATTTTCATGCAGTAAGATACTAAAGTCTCGTATAGCAAACGAATTTTGTTACCTGTGGAATATTGTCGCGTTGTAGATGTGTATAATGCATTGATCGTGGCGAACTTATTGAATGGAGACTTGGTCGCTTATCATAATCCTCATTGACACCTCGAAAACCATTGATTATCGGGACGTCGTCGACTTTAACTTTTGGTTTTGCTCTCGTGATAATACTGAGATGCACCTCGGTGATGATATTTCCCTTTTCGTCCGGTTTCGAAGAAACAGATACGTTACATATACCATGTTCGCAGGTGTCTCCATTTGGTATGCTATCGTTGCCGTTCACAACGACTTGAATATTATTGATTATTTTTGGTTGTTTCGCTAAATCATTCTACAAAAAGTACAAGTTAATTGTCGCATTATCTCATTCTTTGAAAGTCAATCAGTGAGTATTCATTGTTTTCAGTGATAATCCACTGATTGACTTTTAGAGAGTAAAAGAGCTGCAGTAGTTTTTAAACCGATTATTAATTATGTTATATAGTGACAAAGTTATTGATATAATTTTATATAATGCATTCAACCGGAAAAATTGAAAATTAATTTAATTAAACTTAAGCATTATATTAAGTAAAATCTAATTTTAAAAATATTTTTTATTAATTACATGATCTATTACGTTTGGTTTTATTTTATGAATATATGTAAAAGGTGTAAAGTTGCCGAATCAACTGTTTTGTGACATTGCTATCTTCTTGAAGAACTAACAATTCCCAAATGTCGAAGTGACTTAAACGCTGTAGCTACGTCAAAAATGGGCGCAACTTTGCAGTATTCGTGTTAATTGACTCATACAGAACTAAATATCAACTCGCAACTACGAAACTATGTAACTATTCTTTTATGACGTCTATTACTCACGTGGTACAGATAGATCCTTCTTTTTCTTGGTTCACTTGCTTTTACAAGCTCGTTTCCATGCCAGATGAGCGTCGATGGTCTGGGCGCACGTAAAATTGATTCCGGTGAACTAGCAGGTTTCTTTAGATTTATGGTCGTGCCGAAGGTCGGATGGACTAATTCTGTTGTCTCTTCATTTTCGTTAGAATCGAAATTAATCTTCGACGAAACTTCAACACCCGTACTGAAATGGTTAAATATCGTGATAGCGAAATAACCGGCGAGAAATATTCTCGTTTGCATTTTCATCGTTCGTTTGACAATACACGGGGGATACTGGTTTTTCATAAAATTCTTCTGTCACTGTGCATGTTTTAAGGAAGGGATAAGTACTCGAAGCGGATGTATATATAGTAATGACAATCATCATTGTAGAAAATTGCAATGACCTCCAACTCGTAAAGCGTAACAAAGGTGGACTCGAAGAAGCAAAGTATATACTTTTCTCGAAGGATTCGGACCAGTGGGTTTAATTGCTTCCTGAGATCGATATCGCAAAATCCATGGATGCTCGCAACTAATATAAATGAATTACCATTATATGTAAATAAGATCGTTAATGGAAAAAAATTGACAAACACGAATTTTACATTGCTAATTAATTCTCTCTTTTCGGGAACCAGATATGTATATTTCTGAGATCCATTTTGCGAATCCATTTATCTCTTAGTAATATGTATATTTCAGAAGTGTCCAACTTTAATATATGATCGCCATTAATAAACAGAAACGAGAATAATATATGCATATTACAACATTTGCTGCTATTTCCCGAAGAGTACACTTACCTTTGCGCTGAACAAAGGTTCGCTGTAATAATGATTCATAGTGAATAGCTTAGCGGAGGGTACGATGAATGCCCATGAATGACATTATCTCGCGCCTATTACGATGAGCGAAGTGTTCGCTCTAAAATGCACCCCGTTATGGCCCGTTGCAGCCAGCACATCAGCGCTAAAGTAATTTCGAATCCCGTCACCCTCAACGTTTGACTAAATCCCGGCGCAAACAAAGAGCGCGAGGGCCTCATTGAGATTCATTAAAATCCTTGCTGCCCCTTTCAGCCCTGCGAAACTGTCATGATCCTCTCTCCGATCGCTGTCTTTGTTCTTAGGGCTCTTTTCATTATCGCGACGCTAAACGGTTTAAAAGTTTACCTCTGTCATTTGATATAATTGTTTATTAAAGGCGACGTGAGATCAATTGTGCGGTATAATAGTTAGGATGAGTTAGAGAGAGAATTTTAACCGTGTCACCCTTTCCACTGCCTCACGGAGTAATGACTCATCCGTATAGCAGGCGCCAAATGTTCGTGCCGTTGAACATCGCGACCGCGCTTAAGTTGTTCGTGCCAAAGATGCAATTATGCAGTGGCGAATCGTCAGGCAACTGCAGGATATCGCGTTACGTAAATCCTCGTCCTAAGATCGGCGATTACGAGACTCGGGCATCACGGTCGCGCAGAATGACGCAGAATCCTCATTAAGACTCGAGAATATTCCGCTGAATGACCGAAGAATGCTTATTTCCGAGGAAACAAACCGCGCCGGTGACTAATTTGTAACCGATTCCCCGAGCTCCGCCGGACTGTTCGTTTTCTCAACAAAAAGGAAAGGACTGCCGCGACACAACTGCGTCGTAAAAATCGTATTTAAGTGAACTCCTCCGACTGTTCTCGGACAATTAAACCTCACGCTTGCTACCGGCTGTATAAATATACGTTTTTTTTATTACGCGGGCATGTTTTTGCTAGTTTCCGGCTTACCAAGCACCCTCGGCTGATCTCGCCGGCATTTACCGTCGTCGGAGCGTAGAAAACGGAGTACCTAATGTAGCGTGCCTAATCGGGCTTCGCATTATTGGGGAATCACCGGCGGTATACTCGGAGACGTATCTTGACAGTGTAAATATGCTACAAATTAATGTTCCGCGGGCCCAAGGCTGTTCATGCTCCCACGGAACGTGTTTCACGAAGCGTCCTTATTCGTGGATATTGAACAGAGGACGCATAATGGCGAGAATAAACAACGTAAATCCCGATTGATAGCCCAAAAGGAGGAACTTAATAGTGTAGCTTGGATAATAGCACGTCGGTATATTCCGATAATGGCTGGTAATACATTTAAATGTTTCATAAATTGTAATATGTTTTTGGGGGGGGGAATTATTTATAACCATAGAAAAATATTACAATATGTGGCTTACGAGTAGAAGAATAAATCACGATAAAAATAGTTTTATTTTAATCAAACGATAAATATTGCGGGGCTTATAAAGTATCGAATTTGCATTAAATGCATATCAGTGAATTGCCCATGCCTATAAAATTATTTTATGAATATTACAATAATCCTGAAATGTGGACAGAAGTATTCATTTAAATATAATTTAATTACTTATAAAATCTAACGAAACTTTGTAAAATGCTAATAAACGCCTCGCGTTGATATAAATTGCCCTATAATGTCAGCCAACAAATTTTTCCTCGCTCATTTGTGTATTTGATATAATTAATGAATGGTCCAGATTTGTTGGCAGAATTGTTAAAAATGTTCCAAATTATATTTGCACAATTTATTCTATCTAATTTCTTCATTTGTAATTAAAAGTAATATACAAATTTAATGCACACGCATTAAATTTGTGTTCTACAAAAATGCAGAAGGTATGAAAATGCGATTCAATAATATTCGTCCTTTTAAACGAGACATCGCGAAGACTGCCGTTAATTTTCTCACGCGACACTGGCACTGCTGCCACACGAATTACAAGACTCGTTTAGGATGTGACAGATGGCTTTGACGAACGGTTTCCGAGAAAACAGAAACTCTTTCCACGGCGCGTATTTGCACCCTTCCTTTCACCAAGAAGAGAGACTCGCCAGAAATAGCCGGTGGACGGTTTGAAACCGTGCTTCCTCCTAGAAAGAATGACGTTTACGGCTGTTTTTGTAGTGACAGATCGGTCGCGAGAGGGTGGCTGCGGGCAAAAGTAACGACGCTGTCATTCTGTATCGTATAGATAGAAATTTATTGGGCTCGCAACGTCTGTAGTTTGTACAATTATAGCCTCGCGCGCTACAAGTCAATTATATACATGGGATACCTTCATCTAGGCGCGATACTCGTCGATAACGCGTATGCACACGCCGTAAAAATATATTATGTACAAAAATACAAAAGAGAGAGAAGTGGGGAAGATATTGGCACACTTGAAACACACACACGTAGGCAAGCAAAGCGTATCACATGGCTCAGATTCGCCGTTTCACCACCGGCAGTACAGGTTTCCGAAAATGGGACTGGCGAGCGTTGCGGGATGACGTGCGTTCGCCGGTTTTGGTAGTCGCGGATGACACAGGTCGAACGAGCGCCAAACACGTGGCGCAATAGTGGAAGTTCAGTCTTAACTTTTACAATGTGAATAATTCACGCGATTTCTACATGCTGTGCTCATTTGCAATACAGGAATTATTTAGACACATCGCTTGGATATGTACATACTATATTCCTGTGATTGTAATTTTAGAACTTTTTTTTATGCGAAAATTATCTCGCAACAGTAAAATTCTATTCTAAATTCGGTTTTGACTGACAGTTGAAGCGATCCACTTAACAATTGCACAATTTTGACGAGAAAAGTGATGCATATTTATATTACATTAGAATCTATTATATCTATACACGACTAAAATGTTTGAATTATACGAAAAGTAATGCCTAAGTACTAGAATGAGAGATATATACATACGTTTTTATTCCTATTGAGGTTTCAATAGAATTCCTTGGAGAAAAATTGCGATATGTTTAGAAAATCAAATGGAAACTTAATAGCAAAGTTCAGTCCTACTTTACAGCCAGTGAGCACGCTCAATTAAACGTATCGCGTTAATTGAGTGTGAAAATCTTGCAGACAAATAATCAATTGACTAAACGTTGGCCTCTCCTCCGCTGACATCGCCCAGCAATACGCCATCACCGCGAACAGCTCGTCCGGACAGTTTATCGGTTGCGCCAACCTGTATCCCTCTCGCAGATAGGACGCCATCTCAAATGGATCTACTTCTCCATAAGGCTGTTGTGCCAACGTCGTTAGCTCCCACAGTAAAACACCGAATGCCCACTGAAATTGCATGAAACAACACGGTAAAAATAACACAATATAACGTACACCGTTCGTGTATTTTGCATCGTTTTAAAACAGTCATCGTCGCCGTATGAACGTGTAACGCTATGCAAACTGTGAAGACTTTAATTACGTGAAACTCTGATTCATTAAAACATAGAAACATCGTCGGGGGGGGGGGGGAGAAATATTAGATAAATTGGAAGATGTTTGATATTCATTTTTCTACGGTATTTTTATCCTCTAAATGTTACTTGCCACGTCAGAAGCTGTAGTGAAGGTCTTGTTGAGTAAACTTTCTATCGCCAGCCACTTGATTGGGCGATTTTCGTTATCGCCAAGGCAGTGATAATCCTGTGGGAACAGATCTCTAGCCAAGGCGTTATCCGTGATCTGTACTTTCAAGTCATCGTCAACCCTGAAAGATGAAAATCGGCGAATGAGGATAAACCGCTGACCAAAATCCTGTACACCAATGCCTTACTAATGCCCAGTGGGCATTACTTGATCTCTTATCTTATCTTATTTTATTTTATCTTTATAACGCTCCAGCATGGCCTAATGCCCAAATTAATGCCCAAAAAATGCCTAGTAATGCCCGAAATCTATACACCAATGCCCTCAGCGGTTTACCCCTCGTCGGCGAACTTGAGACGATCGTCGGAGAAGCGCAGATCACGCGATTTCATTACCGCATCGTTATAAATACTTTCCCCAAATGGAAGTCCGGCAGGTACCAGTAATTAAAATAAAGCCTTACGGATAAAGCCTTGCGGTAACATACCGATTATTAAGTCTACGCGCGTAATTAATTCGGTAACGAGACGTAACGACTTTATTGTACAGCCACATAAGATACAAAGCCGGCCAAGCTACATGGAAAGCGATATATCTAGCAATAAAAATTTTAGGGATACTCAAGAATTTATGGAACGCATAAATTAAATTATTGGAACTAATATAAAATATATAGTTGTACTTTAAATGTATTTTATGCTTAAACTTCTACGTCTCGAAAGCACGTAATGTTTTATTGTTCTTACTTACACACAATTTCTGGCAGCCAAGTCTCTATGAACGAGCCTTTTTCTGTGAAGATATTGTACACCTTTGGCAGCTTGGAGTGCCATTTCAACGACTTCCTGGGTGGTGAGGGCCCTCGGAGGTCCTTCGTTACTAAACTTGCACCTCAGCAAAAATCTCTTCATATTTTTGTAGCCTGTATGTGGGTATAACAGGAAAGGCGCGCTTCGGTCTTCAATGGAAACACCAAGGACCGGAAGTAACGCTGAATGACTCAGTCCGTACAGGGCTAAACCTTCTCGCAGTAGAAGAGCCACCTTTTCAAAATAGAAAAATTATACTTAAACGTATCAGCTTGACCTCATTTTGAGAAAGAGAATTATTTCTTCGTGATACATAAAGTAATCTGGGTGTGTTTTTTTTTATAATATGAATAGGACAACTAATATACGCGTCGAGTTTATCCTATATCGATTGATTATCTCCAAGAGCGTCATTTGAGAATTATTTCAAATTAACCTACTTGCGATTGGGATGCGTGTTCGGCAGCAGTTTTTACCAACACATCCTTCGGGGATGTAGCGCCTTCTTCGTGATAACTGCCCCTATACACGCGCCCAAATGTTCCCTCCATTTCAATACTGAGGAGACGCACCCTGCATCTGTAATGGGGAAAAAGATACATTATTTTATTCAATTCTATTATACAATTTTTCGTTTATCTTCATGACGCTTATTGTGACAAACAAATAATCTATCTCAAATGGATTGTCAGCCAATTAGATCCCATATAAAAGAATATTATTCGTTATATCGTCCTAAGTTAATTTTATTAATTTAAAACGCGATAATCACCTTTGCACGGTGATTTCCTGGATTCTCTCATGAAGTTCTCTGTTAGGGCGCTCATCCAGTCTTCTATAAGTCGATCCTGACGCAGCGGAGGTAGGTGGAGGTGTTTCCGGTGACAAAAAGGTCTGTGCAGGTCCCACTCCAGTACCCCTTTCCATGCTGCACGCCGAACTGAGTCCCCTGGATTCCCTGCAATTCGTAAACCTTTTAGGCTTATCCAAAAATTTGATCGCCAGAACTGCTCGTTTCTCTTTGGCGGTACGTTTCACTCACTGAAGAGGATCTCGATGTCGCCTAGTCTTCTTATCGCGAACATAGTAGGCCATAATCAAGACGAAAATAGCCGCCATGAACGCACTCGCGCAACCAATTGCCACGTAGAAAACCTGACCGCCGGAAGTGGAGTCGGGGGCAGCGACTAGGACCTCTTCGGGTTCGGTGTAACTCTCTTTCTGCATACAGATTTTCTTTCGCTTGAACTCCAAGGTGGTAGTGTTCTTCCTCTGTAGCGAGACGTTTATCCGGAGACTGAGGTCGACTTCTACGTTGTAGGGCCCGCAATGCAACGATAAGGCCCACGTTTGCAAACCACCGACGGGTATCTCGCCGATTTGGGAGACATTCAGAGAACTGCTTAGCACCGAAGGATTGCTGATATCCACAGACATCGTGTACGGCAGCTGAAAGTATCGAGAATTCCACTTTTGTGTTATTAACGTCTATAGACGTTAATAAGAGGACATTACGCGCGCTGCTCTTCGCTGATTTCGATAACACTTGCAGTGATGATAAAAGATAAGAATATAAGTTTTAAGTATGAACGTGCCAGAAGCTGAATGTCGACGCTTGGCATTTTAAATATCTAACGAAATACATTGTATTTATATTTTGATAAGGTCTCCTTATAATTTTGTATTGGCGAACATATATTTTTCTTTGATGAAAGGATAAGATTAGAAAAGCCGGTTAATGCCAGATCAATACACTATATGTATTGATTAGATAGAATCTTCTATTATTGCTGTAAGTTTTATCGAACTCGGCGAAAAACAGCGCCTAGCGTCCCCTCGTAAAATATTCTGCAAAGAAAATTTTGTAAAAGACTAAAACTTGGGAAATCTTCGTAAAAAAAAACAGAAGCTTGGTATATTCTTACTTTTGGGGAGAAAGAACATACGAATAAATAAAAAAGCACGTCGCATAGTCAGTCCACGCGCTCGAACGGTCCAAGTATAGTGTAGAACGAAAGGCTTGAGAAAAGGAGCGCGCACACGAGCGTTCGATAAGTACGGACCTACGGAACTGTGACTCGTAAAGGATACGCAAAACAGACGGAACAATGAAGGGCGTAAGGTTTGGCCGGTTACCCGCTCCGTCATAATCTCAAGAACGTTGAACTATAATCTCGAGCGTACCATTCTCGGAAGACAATTTGTGCTCAGCGAGAGCAAAGCGAGTCCAGAGGACTTGCGAAAACAAGAGTGGAAAGAACACGGCGATGGTGGAGGGTGAGGGGTGGAAAGGTCGGTAGAGGGAAGCGAGGCTAGGCGATGCAGAAGCAGCATGATTACTAGCTCGCAGTGATGATCGGTTCCCGGCTGGCCACGAGGAGAGTACCTCGTCAACTTGCTGGCTTGTCGCTACTGCTATCTAACGCTCTCCTGCGGTCTTTTACGGCCACGAGGAACGTGGCTGCCGCACTATGTGGCCAGCCAGGCAGTTTCTTCTAAATGGACTAGCGGATTTCCAGTTAAGAATCTAAATAGGCGAGAAATGAGATTTTTTTGTGATATCCCGATTCTCGATAAACTTAATATATCGAGTAACTTTCTTGAGATATAAACACGAGGATAAAGATAGAATTATTGTTTTATTTAACAATGATTGCGAGAGAATATAAGGAAGAATAATTATACGTGATTATAACTTATGTAGCAATTAAAATGTGAAATGCTTCACTCCATCATCTGCGCTTTCTCTTTCACGGTAAATACTGTTTAATTGCTTATGACAGATGGCACGACAACGACACTGTGATAGATGGGACATTCGCCAAAAGAAATATCCTCGCGCGGTTAGGCTACCTTTGTACTTCTGCAAGGGATGTCAATTTTCATATAACTTCGGGGAAAAAAATTGCCATATACCGCGTGCGAGTCGCACTCGACAATGCAGCTCCCGCGGTCTCTCGTTAATTTTCAAATCCGCCATATGCTTCATCCTTAATACAAGCGACGTTGCGTGATGCGCGAGGGAAGGAAAATTGCTACGCGCTCTATACAAATACCCACGCAGCAAACGTCCGATCGAAATTGAATGCGCTGCCTGGCGCGCAAAGCCACCAGGAGGATTCCCCTGATAATTCGACGTGTACGGCGTCGCGTCCGGAAACCGCTTTATCGAGGCGCAATTCCCGCAGGTTTGACAGACAGGCGCTGCTTTAAGTACCATTCAAGCCACTCGGTTTTGCCGCGGAGGTGACGGATGTCTTTGCGTCGCTCGTCAGTCTTCCTCATCTCCTTCTTCAGGACCCCCTCCCCCCTCCCTTGTCTGTTATATGCCGAGACAACTGGAAGAAGTGGATGGACCACTTTGTCCCGCTCCTGGATCCTTTTTTTCCGCGCATCGTCGACGAGTCAATCGGACACCCCGCCGCATTCTGCCCACTTTTCGCCGCCACTTTGTCAATGTACCACGGATGTCGACGGCGAGCAGCGGGCAGAAGTGGTTTGCGAGGAATCGCCGATGACTCATGGACGGGAGAAAGAGAGACAGTCTGGTTTCGATTTTATATCTCGCATGAATATGCAGCCGCGCGATTCTCACCGTTGTAACTATCACGCGGTGTCTGCCGCGTCGTTGCATTACGAGTAACATAAAATTAATTCGCACGGTAGGATGCCCGTTGGTTATTTATTCAAGACAAAAAGTAGGAGAAGTCGAATCGGTGAATTCTTAGTATAATATTAACGAACGTGCAGGATGAACATGGAAGAGGGAATTACTGTTGCAACCCGAAGGGGAAATACGAGCTTTAATTAAAACATAAAATAAATCTAAGATAATTAATTGTTGCCTGATAAGCGAGCACGTCAGGCAATTTCCATCGCTGCTTCGCTAATGAAAGATTGAACGTTGCATATTTCGTTTGTTCTCGAACAAAGAAGACTACGCCATTGCACTGGGAAGTTGAAAAACTGAAAGGTACGATATGCCTCGATAATCCCGATAAGTACGGCGCGCCATAAGGACACGAGAGAAACGCAAATAAAGATCGGCTAAAGGTCTCGAATGGCTGGACGGTGTGATCGCTGAACCCTGAAAAACGCTGAGGTTCGTCGGATGAGACCCGTCGTCTCTGAAGTGTCTTACGTGCGGTGACGCGAATTCCTACGTTAACGAGCAATTTCAGCATTTCTCAGCCGCGGGCGACTTTAATCCCGGCGAGGAAGCGCAAAGAGACGCGGGAGGAATGGCAGAAAAGTCAGAGAAACGTAAATAAGAGACATAGAAGCACTCGCCGAGAATATTGTGCACGTAAATATCTTGCGCGCGGATAATTCTTGTCTTCGGCCACCGCGTTTATCCGCTACGAATTTCTATCCCTTCGAAGTCCCGTAACACCATTAACCTAGGGAACCTAGGGAACGTCTTAACGAAAGTCAGAGACGCCTTTTGCTCTAAATATTTCGCGATTAACTCGTTTTAAAGTCAAATCTCTGCTTTATGAGAGTCATCCGGTGCAATTAATGCAAATTGAAGTCAGACTTTCAAGGTACACTGCTCAACAATCGCATAGTTATATCTTCATTTAAACTTTCACTACTGGCTTTATTGCTAACGGCTTTTTACGGCGCAGACTGTACAATTACTGCGCCAGCGTTAAAATATTAATGTCCGTATTATTTTATTACACGAACTTACCGGTCTACCGGCGAGATTTTCCCACGTGAAGTGGAGCTTATGAATCAGTGCTGGTACAGGAACAATGAACTTCATAGCATAGTCGTTTACGACGCCCTCCCTCACGTAAAACAATTCTCCTTCCAATCCTGAAATACAAATTTATCTTTTATTGTGACAGCACAAATCTATATAAAAATATTCAAACGTTTATATGGATTGACGGGCAAGTCTTTTTCTTATAAAAATTAGTGCTAACGCAGTTGTAAATCTTTCGAATTTATCAAATTAGTTGCGGGGCTTGTTGCGTGTTAAAAGGAATGACATATTTATTTGTTCGTAGGTTTCATTCCCCCCGTGCATAAGAAATTATCTGATACAGATTACGTGGATGACTCATTCTGTTCCATTCACGTTACAATTAACATAGCGTGCATTTGTCCCACAAATCTGCAATGCGTGTGACACCAGCACTAAAAATGCCTACTCGTGTCGTGTTTCAAGTGCCATGAAAACTTGATAAATATTCAAAAGTAAAACTGTACAAGATGGCACAGAAATTATTGTCCCAACAACAGAATTTAAATTAATACGATAAAAAATATAAACGTTTTAACAGAAAGTGTGAAAATAGACAGAACATAGTAATTTTAAGTTTTAGACAAATCTGCTACGTTTACGCGACTTTCTCAAAAGCGGATTAAAATCGTATGGAATAAGACATAGAAGGCAGCTTCCCCCCCCCCCCTAGATACATAAATAATTTCTCGAGGAATGTTTTGGTACAGTTAATAATTAATTTGGAAGTCAACAATTATATATTACATCTAATATATTATAACGTTTAATATAATATAATAACACGTTAATCAACGAAAATTAAATTCTTTGAGAGCTGAAAGGTTTGTCTGCCTAAATTATTTTAAACGCAAAAATAATGAATACCTGCAGAGATGTAAATCGTACTTTGTACACAGACAGAACAACAAATTGGCGTGTGATGCGCATTCGCTCCGCTAAATTTTCGCCCATCCTGTCGGACCCACGCTTAGCACATATTATGCTACCGGACGGCTCAACCGAAGCGAAGGTTGGCGTGCGGGAGCTGCAAGGTTACGTGGGCGAACTAGCGAAGGTGGAGTATCGGGGAGTAAAGAAGGAGAATCTGCCGTGGAAGGGACCGGGACATGGGCACACGTCGTGTTCTCCCTCGGACGAGGGCCTATCCTTTGCGGTTGTATCTGATAGCGTGCTTAACGAGCCACGAGTTGGATTTTTAAGTCACCCGAAGACAATGTGCCGCGCTGCCCCCACGGTCGTGTCTCTGCCTTCGGTTCGCCTAGCTCGTTCGGCGTCTCCCTGCTTCGTTCTTTCTGTAGGCCCTGCGGCCTTTACCGGTTTTCTGCATCAGATATCGTATACGTACGACCTCAGTACCGGTCGTTTTTGCGACCAGGTTCCTCTCGCTGTCCCGAGCGAGTGCTCCGTCTTGATGGTCGTCGTAAAAAGGACGAAAAGCGACCCCGCGCGAGTGTCCCTTTAAAAATAGTTATTCCCTGAAAAACTACAAATACGTTGGACTACCTGCCCCGAAAATCGATTCTGCCTGAATATCAGAAGTGACATGAAAGAGACCAATGAAGGCAGGTGCGTTTAACGCCTTTGAATCGGTCAATATCGGCGAATATAGTATTAGGGCAAACAACCATAAGGCATTGGTGGTGATTCCTTTTCAGAAGTTCGCCGCTTTACGAATAATACATGATTCGATTCACACAGGGATAAAGATCTCTAACGGATAATAATTAATTGCGCCTCGGTACGTTTCTGCTAGATAATCCAATTCGCGCGTCTATTCCCCGTAGGGAGTCTTTCACGGTCCTTAATCCGGCACAGTCCACTCCATTCCCGCGCGTTGGAAGGTAAGGTGTAATCCTTCCGGCATCAAAGATAACTTCACCTCGTCATCGTCTCTTCCCGTCGTTGTCGACGACGCTCCGTCTATGACCTCGTTACCGCGGTTTGCCTCCGCCGCCTCTTATCTAGTCAAGAAGGGTGGCACCAACCTCTTTGGCACTCTTCCCGTGCGATTATGCGGGAACTTTGTAAGCGGGTGGAAGCAGGTCGTCGGGTACCAAAGTTCCTTTGATGTCTGCTGTGCCTACCGCGCGGGCGCGAGAGCTAGAAAGCGACGAAAGGGACGTGCGAGCTGGCGGGAAGGATAAGGAAAGGTTCAAAGAGGAAAAAAGCCCTTTCAGTAAAGGCGTCGACCCTAGCAACTGCTGCCAGGCACAATTGTCACGAGGGATTGTACGAAACTATAGGCACCTTTTTTTTCGCATAAATTGCACCTACCGTCCTGTCCACCGTCCAGCCACCACCGACCGTATCCGTTGAATCGAATACGGAATTATTGCCACTTTCGTAAGCCACGATGGTAGATAACAAGCAGAAAGAATCTTGGACCACTGTTGAATTTAGCCGGTCTGTTCGCGCGTAGATAAAAATCTGGGATCTCTTTGTGTTTTGAGGAAAGCACGACTAAATCTTTGTATCTTAATATATGAGCGGTTTTCTTCCTAACGAGCAGGAGAAAATAATGCGCCGTTGAAAGAAGAATCGTTAATAATTTAATTCACTAGCTTGAATGGCAAAATTCTCAAATATTCGTTAAATATTAATTGAAATTGAGCATTATTTAAAATGTATTTGAGTGCATAGTGGATAGTTTTTAGTGAGATACATTTAATAAAAGCGAAAACGTCTTCAAAGTATCATTTTGAATAAAATAAGATTGCGACGAGCGCAATCTTGCAAAAATTTTGTTTCACTTTCTTGAAACGCGCAATTGCATAGAAAGACCTCGTAACATTAAAGATTAAAATGAGCGAAGCAAAAAAGAAACGGAACAGGTAAATGGCAAATAAAGAGGCTACGTTCGGAACTCGCGAAAGTACGATACCCTGAATACTTCGGACTATTTGAAGGAAGTCATCGCTACGGTACAGTCTCGAGCTCGCTCAACTGCTGTCTGATGACGCAATAATTCTAAAGAAGTACTTCTTACTCCCCTCGAAAGGGCCGAATAGACGTATAAAAGAAAAACGCTGCCAGGTACGAGTGCAGCCGGAGAAATTTCACACGCCACAGTATTCTGCACTGTCAAAATACGCCATTGAGCCACGTTGACGAGTAGAGGTCGCCGAATAATAGAGCGGATACCACGGGTGAGAATAAGATGTTTAAAACAGTGAAGCATTATTAGAAGGAATGACAATGTGATCTTTGAAGAAAGCCGAGGAGATCAAAAAGAGAAAAGAATAACGTTTTCAAGTGACAGTTTAATAATGGAGCTTTGTTACAATATACGTATAAAAGTGAACGATGTAATTTACAATAGCAGTTTCATTTATCTTTTCAAATATTTACAAAAAGATATACTTATCGAAAGCATCAACACGTAGCAACACAAATCTGCAAATAATTAAAGAACAAACGACGAAAACACATAATGTCTTTCCTACATACTTAATGGCCGAATTTTCTAAAGAAACTCAGAAATGTACTTTTCTTTATTATTACGCGCTGCGTTATCTTGTACGCATCAGACGTACAAATTGCAAGTGCATCGACAAAATCGCTATTCGAGAAGGAGTTTTATATGTTCGTCGCTTAGGTAGAATTTTCGAAACGGAAATAGAGAACGCGGTCCCTCCGGAGCGAATAAAACGAGCGAATGCGTGCATAGCGCGAAGGCGCGAAACCAACCGCGAAATTTTGCGGTGCGACGTGTCCTCCGCTGTCAAAATACGGTATTGAATGAAGTTGACGGGCGCAGCTCCGAGACTGGCACGAATAAAGGGCCGAGCCTCGAAGTGCGGGGCCCGTGCAGAATCGCCCTCAACGAGGTCTGCCACCGGCGGGGACCGGGATGGGGGAGGGGGAGGTTCTGGGTCAGAAACCCAACACCTTCCGAATATAAAATCCGGTACGAGTATAACGAGATCCCCCCGTGGCGCGCGGAGGTTCTTAAAAGCGGAGACTCGGAGCAGACGGGCGAGAAAGAGGGAGAGAGGGAAATGCAGATGGAGGCGGAGGCCGAAGGAACAGGAAATATTGGATTCACGCGACGCCTACTCACAATGCGGCCTGCGCGCGATTTTCGGTCGATTCCCCGTTCCATGCCGTCGCGTCCCGTGCAACAATGGTGTGAACGACAGGTTCGCCATGGAAAATACTTTGATCTCGAATAGGTCTACCATTGAGTGAAACGAGATTATGGAGGAATTTACTCCTGATAAGAGTGAAATGGAATACAAAGTGTTTTACGGGGCACGAGGGGTAAACCGCTGACGAAAATCATGTACATCAGTGCCTACTAACACCCAGTGGGCATTACTTTACTTTCTTACCTTTTTTATCTTTATCATGTCCCAGCAAGGCCTAATGCACGAACTAATGCTCACAAAATGCCTAGTAATGCCGAAAAAAGCCTAGTAATGCCCAGTAATGTACAAATACATGTATGTACACCACAATGCCCTCAGTGGTTTATCCCTCGATGGGGAAAACCAACCCATTACAGCGCGCATGTCTAAAAGGCATCTTAAGACGTCTTTAAGTCGTCTTTTAGACATACATATTTAAAAGGTGACTTAAAGACGTCTAAAAAATGCTTTCTAGACATACGTGTTGTTTGGGAAGAGTTTTTACCTTAACACCGGAATATATCTTGCCTTTATTTTTTAATTTCCTAGTTGATTGAAGTATTTTACATACACAGCCCATTTTGCAACATCGACCGATTCTGTTTCGCGCGGGGGTGGCTCGAAATTGCATTCATCACGCGAATCGACGGGGGAAGAGCAATAAATCTCGATATTCCGAATCCGAACGCGAAGTCGCTGCGGACGCGTGTTTCAGCGCGCAACGAGCGGAGAGGCGCGCCGTGATTTACGACAAATTCCGCCCCCTCCCCCTCCCGCCGCGTAAAGACCGAAGTTTTCTGAGGAAAGTCCGATGTTAACGTGCTCCAAAAATGATCCGCGGGCGAGGTTAACGACCAGATCAGCGCCAGCTGGCATATACCCGCCGATATCTCGACTCGCTGCCTCGAGAGATCTAATAACGCGCTCGCGCCCGTATGCGT